CCCTCAGAACGAACACCGACACCACAAGTGTTTGCTCCCTCCACAGCCCTGCTTGTAGTGCTTAGAGACATGTGGTGCCTGACGTAATATACACAAAAAGGTTGGGGGGGAATGTGTTTGGACTCGTTAAACCTTAGGGCAAGCGATTCAGCACCCATAACACATGATACGTAATTGGTAAGAACACGTTTTTATATTTCACAACAGCACAGTCGATAACATGTTCTTGTGCCAGAAGATGTTAAAAACAGACATCAAGGAGAATCTTCCCTTTACAAAAACAATAACTTTGAAACTTTTGTCATAATGAACAATCTAGTTGTAATGTGAGAACCCCAACTCTGTGGTGTAACTATATCCTTTTTTTCAACATGTTACCCCAAAATATCTAAACGATCTCAAGATCTGGGAGTTATGTCAGTCCAGAATTTTACATTGTTTTTAATTCTCTAATCCTTGTATTCACTGAGAGGTTTTGGGTCATTCTCATGTTGAAGAGTCCAGTTCTGCTTCAGCTCTAGTTTCAAAGCTGGCCTCACAATTTTATTAATCAGTATCTGCCAAACAGTAAAATTCATTGTGGATTTTCTGACGGTGAGCTGGTTCAGTCCTGCCGCAGCAAAGGATTTCCAAACAATGAAACTTCCAGGCCTGTGCTTCATAGTTGGTGTAAGGTGGTTTTTCTGAGATGTTATGACTGGTTTACGCCAAACATGTTCTCTGTTCTGTAAATAATTGCATTAGCGAGTCATCTGTCCAAATCCTGGTCTCTGTTTCTATTCTTTCTGTTCAACTTGATCCAAGCTTTTATGTGTCGCTTGTAGAGGAAAGTTTTCCACCTTAGACCTCCAAAGCAAATTAAACTTAGAAATAAGAAATGTTTGATTTTAGAGGCACACACTTTCACATCAACAGTGCATGAGACCTTGCTGTCAGACTCATAATGACACTTTGACTTCTTTCAGCATCTTACAGCTGGCTTTCAGTGTAAAATTGTTTCCACAGCCAGAACTGAGTGTATTGAAGCTTAAATCAGGTGGTTCACAAATATTGAATAGTTATCTTTTTGAAAGTCTCAGGTCTTTCAATTTTACCATGCTGTTCACACAGTTGCCTCAAGATTCAGTTGCATACCACACAAAAGGTATGAGATTTTAACAGAGTAAGCTGTTTCCAGCAGTCAGTGGCCTGAAGGTGGGCTACTGCCTGGACACATCACTAGTCCAGAACAGGGTAGATTGTACATCCAATTTAGAAAATACAAAGACATTCATTCATAGGGCTTCTAATCTTTTCACATGACTGTATACATTTCTTTCAAATATTTACATAGGGATTCATAATTCATTTCAAAAAAACCCAAAACATAACTGACAACTATTTTGTTGTGCTCTGAGCCTGGGGCGACACCCCTGTTTACGAACACAGTGCTATTGCACAACCAGTTTAAACAGATCTGCTCTCAGTTCTACTCAGAACTTATCTTGTTACCTTCCACAATGCTTGTTTACACTGCCAACATCCACACAAGTGGGTCCAGTCAGCATTGCTTGTCTTTCTGTGTGAGCTTGTGCAATAGACCAAAGCAATGTTTTCACACTGAAGAGTTTTGGCCAGTTGATCATCTCCCGTATGAGCAGTCTAAGGCCTAATGCTTTACAACGATAACAGGATTAGAGTAGTATTGGGTTTCATTTGTGTGTTGTTTATTTCATCCCTTCAGCATTTTGTAATGTAGGCAATCTCAGTCATTTTGTATTTTACTACAGACATTTTACACTCACTTTGACGACCGATTTCAATTAACAACTCACACTGGTTTAGCAAGGGTGTTGAATAACAGAAAGAGGTTTAGATTAACAGTTCCCAAACATCAACCAGTGTACTTTAGAAATCAAAGTAAACAAAATAATTAAATATCAATTTGTATTTGAGCTATAATTCTTAAGAAAAGTACTGAAAATTGTTACTCTGATATGGAGTTGATGCTTTTTATATTATTATTATATTTCAGTTTTATTGAGGTCAAGTTCAATACACTAAACTACACAACTATACAAAATGACTTGTGAGGTCAGAAGTCATTTTGTACTTGTTTTTAACAAGCTGAACTTCTACAAAGGTACAAAGAAACATGAGCATATCATTATGGGATTAGCTTCTTGGCTCTGGCAGCATATTTATTTCAGAAAAAATGTGATGGTAATTTATTTTGATTTTGGGTCTTTCAATGACCTCAGAATATTTGTCCAAACTGCTGCATCTCTATGAAAATGTACCCTGAATCTCTTACAATAGTTGCAACATTAGCAGCAATAGTTGCTAAATGCCTGTTGTCTGTCAATAACTTTATGTTTACTCTCCATAAAAGGCTGTCCATTTTCAACAGAAGAAATACACAAAGTTGACAAACTTTTCTTGGGCTGGATTGACAAAAATAAAAATAAAACAGAAAACATTTTTGTCTGTTTTCAGCAATAAGAGCATAATTTGAATTTCTCTTTCCTGGGAAATGTGTACCATTCTTTAATTGCACATAATCAGTCAAGGGTCTGCAAGTGGGTGGACAGTGGACCACCCTTTGAACACCCCTGACATAGAGGTTTTTTTCATAAAACAAGTGGCAAACATCTCCACTTTTAAAGCATGATGCATATTGGTGGCATAAAAACTATAACAATTTTGTTGTCTCTCAAATGCCAGCGTCGTTGAGGAACACTGCCCTTGGCTAAAGCCCAGTGATCTATTCTGTCTCACCAGGTTTTAGCACAGCCCGTCCAGTGTGTGTTAACGGCAAAGGATGAGGTCTTTGATCCGCCGCTACCCTGCGGTCTTGGTGTATTTTCGCCTTGACTCTCCTGGCCAGATAGTCATACAGACTGTCTGTCATCTCTACACCCTCAAGCCACAATGCTGGCAAATCCTTACATAAGCAATATAGGGCTGTGGTTACATCATCTAGAAAATCGGAGGTGTAACAGTGGCAGGTTAACTCCAGCCATCTCACACCATCTTGGTCCTTACAGAGGACAAACACAGACAGGCAAAAGGTGTTAAAATTCTAGCTTCTAGTGTTTTGTGATGACTGGATTCAATCAGCTGGACTTCCAAGATAAATAGCATTCTATTTATGTAATAAACCAAAATTAATGTTATTTTATTTAAATTATTACTGGATTGGAGAGTACTAACTGGATCCATTATTAGGAACAGGAATTAATTTTCCAGAGAACACAAACATAAAATCAGTCAACATTGCCAGCTACTCAATTCTTTTAAGCATTTAGATCTGGTGAAGACAGCTTAAAGCATTTTGAAGCAAGCGTAGCAATGGGGAAGAAAAGAGGGTTCATGTGACTTTGACCATGTTGTGGTTTTTGGTTGCTATACAGGCTGGTCTTAGTATTTCAGAAACTCAACCAACCTCTCGGGTTCACAGAAAGGGATCAGATTCCCTTTCCTGCTTTGCTTATGTCAAAGGAAAACAGTGCATGCTGGTTTGAGATAATAGAAAGGAAACAATGGAAGACCTCGCAAGGTACCCAAACGCCAACAAAGAACAGGAAACTGTGGCTAAAATTTACAGACTGCGACCAAAATTGGACAGTAGTAAATTGGAACAACTGTTTTTTTTTGTTTGTTTTTTGAAGGAAAGACTGCAAAACATTTGGTCTGGATTTGGGTTGCGCCATTCAAGCAGCTGGGACAGAATTTGATGCAGATAAAGGAATGGCTCCATCCTGCCTTGCATTACTGGTTGAAGCAAAGTTTTTAAGGTACACATTAGAGACTTTATTATCAACTGAGCTGAAACGCCACAGCCTACCTGAGTATGTTGCACCAGTCAATCCCTTTGTGAGCACACGGTATTCTCATCTTGTGCTGGTTACTTCCAGGTGACTGATTACACCATATTACAAAGCTCAAATCATCTCAGTCTTGTTTCTTAAACCTGATCAAGAGTTTACTGTACTCTGGTGAACAACTGGAGCGTGGCTCTGCAGCCAACAAAGCCACAAGAACTGTGACGCTGACATGACAATATGGAGCAAAATTTCTGAGAAATGTTTCTGAAACCTTGTTGAATCTGCGCCTCATGAAGAATCAAGGCAGTTATGAAGGCTATGCGGTATAGAAAAAAAAAGTGTACTTAAAGTACATTTAAATGAATACGAATCTATCTATATGATTGGATTTTACTGGTACAAATTTGACTGATTTGATTACATATTTCTTGATAACTTCATATTTGTTGCTACCTCCTGACTGCACTGTCTGAACCAGTGCAACTCTACCATAACAAAACACCATCATATCCTGGTTGCAAATCTTCTCTTGTGCTGCTGATGCTTTGTGATAGAAATGAACATATCAAGAAACAGAACCATAACACAAATAATCATAATATTTTTAAAAAGACTCTCCTTGATTATGGTGCTTTTTAAAAATATGTATAGCACACGTCATTATTCATTCATTCGTCCACTTAGGCGTATTACTCAGTAAATGGATTCGTGTCCTTGTGGGTGGATGACGACAGACATGTAATAACCAGAGCCAGACAGAGCTGCTCAGGGCGCTCCGGGGCTCCGCCGGGCAGCCAATGGTGACACGTTGTTCTTACCCGTGACATCATCACCCACCACTCCTCTTGCTAAAGAAGGAAACAAACATCCATCCAGCAGTAGAAGAAGGGGACGGGAGACGGCGAGAGGAAGGAGGAAAAGGCAGGAGGCCTAGGAAGGGACGTTTAAAACCGTCTAAATCCGCCTGACCGAGAGGACGACGACACAGAAACGGGGGGAAAAATAAAAAGGAAACTCCACACAATAACTTCGACCTTTTCTGACAAAGACAACCGCTTTTCCTGTCCTCTCGCGAGAAACCCATCGATTTTCAGCAGGTGATCATGGATTTTTTTTGTTGTTTTCTCATGAAGTGGATTGGCGTTGCAGAGAAAGCGATTTGTATCGAGGTAAAACACTCGAGACGTGTGCTTTTGACGAGATAATGGCGACCTTTACTGATGGATTAAAAGGTCGCACGGTTTGCGGTGATCAACCTTCTTTGTCTTTGCCACCTCCACCTCCCACCGTGTCCTCCACCTGACTTGAAATATCACAAGTCCTCGAACGTGACTTTGTGTTTAAAAAAAAAAAATCCAGGGAGGGAGCTGAGGTAGCGCTGCTCACAGTCTCTGCTTCTCAGCCTGCTGTCCCGAGCTGGGGGGATGGGGTGAACCAAAAGCCTGTTAATTCCTGTCTACAAATAGAAAATTTATAAGCCGAATAGACAAGTGGAGCGAGAGAAAGAGAGAGAAGCTGCACTCAAATGAAACTCGCAGCCGTTGCTTCGACTGTAACGTAATTAAATACAACGGTTAGCTTGTAGTTGGAGCCGTTGGGTGAGACGAGAGATTTCGCTCGACGCGAGGGCTTTAAAAAAGTCGCTTCTTAGCGACTAAAGGTGATTATATAATGAGGATTTTTGACGTGGCTTGGTTAGGGACACTTTGGAAATCCGTTTTAGGCGCAAGTGTTGCGATAAATGCGAGACACATAGTGATTTAAAAACAGGAAGCAAGGAGGCAGCAGACAAAGGAGGAAAGAAGAAACAAAGGAAGGACGTTTCACTCTGGCTCGGCTACTGAATGTTTCTCAAAATACCCCAGTTAGGGCTTTTTCTACCAACTTCTGGTGGTGGTTTTCAGCTTTAGTTTGTTTTTATGGAGAATTATCCCCAGTTTCTGTCCTGTCCTTCACTGTGACTCAGGACTTTCCAACGCCACCAGCAGGGCCTGAAATATGAGCTTTCCCTTTGTTTGCTAAAGTTAACCCCATATATGTTGGTTTAAACTGGTGTCTTATAGAAAACAAGACTGAGGCTTTCTCATAAGTTCCTGCTGCATGCGATTAACATTTTTGTGAAAGGAAACTGTGGTGAGTGGTTGTGTCTGCTGGAAACTCCCTGCCTTGCCCTGTCAGGTGGGTTTTCTAATGCATAATGCACCTCATTAAGGTCGATCTTGTCAGATCGAAAGCCTTTGGTGGGTCAAATGTCAGTTTTCTGAATGGCGATACAGACATAACGTTTTTATCACTATACATTTTGTTTATTTAATAATGACTAAAGTGAAGATCAAAAGCTTGTTGCAACTTTTGGCTATAAATTAGAAATGCTTTTAATTTTACTGGTAAATCATTTCAATTTTGTTAGCTTTGTGCTTCGTGTTCTTTGATAGAGATGGCAGGTTTGAATTAAATGGAAAAATTAACATAAATATCACCAGTGATGTTTTATTCCTAATGTTAGATTTCTATGTAGGGATGGGCTTTTATAGGCATAAAGTTTTAAATCTTCTGTGATATTAATTGTGATTGTAATGACAATCACAATAGGGCTCTTTGACACCCATTCCAATCTTGGGACAATTCAATTTATTTATTAAGAACCACAACACACATACCAAAATACTTAGTGCAGCTTTTTTGTTTCAGAAATTGGCAATATTTCAGATAATACAGAGTGTTGCTTGATTGTATATAGAGATAAATCAATGGGAGTTCATTTTAATGCATTTGTTCAACATGAGGGGGAAGGAAATCTCATCTGTCAGCATTTGACCTGCCAGTCAAGGGAACACCGGGCGACACCAGCATCTCTACTCTGAATCTATTCACCTGCAGTGAGAGAGTCTAACAAAAATAATTCACTAAAAATAAAGACGGCCTGTTATCAAAAAGTCACATTGAGCGGTGCAGCTGTGCTGCTACAAAAACAAAACAATAACACTCAGCCATAACTTGAACTGCAGCATTTTTTTATCATTACCCAGCTGTAGAAAATAGCTCATTTTGTTTGTTGTAATCAAAAAATGACTAATTCTTATCCCATAATCCTTCTATTCACAGCAAATGATAGACAGTATGATTGCTTAACAACGTAGGTATATGTAGACAGGTCTGTGGTTCGTGTGGCATGTGAACCAAAAGGTAACGAATGAGCAAACATGAACCATTTCATTTTGAGCTTTAGCTGCCAATCTAGAGAAGACAAAGCATGCCTTAAAATAATAAATAATATATTCAATAAATCCAGTTTAAAAATGTCTTTATGAATATGTTCTTTATAGTTAAGTAAATGTCAGGAAAATAAAATTGGAAAGAAAAACAAACTGAGGAGTGACAAGCTCATTATTGAATATTAAACAAGTGGCCACGACAATACCGAATTAAGATGCTCTTTATGGAACGACAAAATAGTTTTCCGGTGACATAATTATGTTATTGAACCACTTATTCATATCTATATTTATTGTTAGTATGGGAGGTTTTGATCTTCCAAATGTTCCTAGCTCACTCACTCTGTCTGGTGTTTTTCAAGAGTTTGCAGTTGAACATGTGACTCAATTGGCAGTGGCCTTTTGTAAGCTTTTCCAAGAGCTTTATTGACACAGAACTAGCTTGTTGGTGTAAAGGGGCATGGAAGGAGGGTGCGAGTGAGTTAGAGTACTTTGTGGCGCTTGCTGATAAGAAGCCCCCAAGCGTTCATGTACGCGACATCCTAAAAAAAAACACACACCTGCCGGCCTCTCCTTGAACATTGACTTGATTTTTCTCCTGTTTGTCTGTCAGCTGGATATAAACAAGCTTTTTAAGACAATAAAAGCGCTTGTCGAGTCACAGCAGAGCGAGGCCAAAGGTTGTTTACTAGGGAAATATGAGGCTGTTGATGGGATCAAATGATATGCTAAACAGCCTCTCAATAAGGATGGGCAGATCTGGGTCTTCCTGTCTGTTCATCAGAGGTGTTTTTGATGTGTTGCGTAAAAGTCAGTGTGTCTTATTACACAACTTCCTGTGGTGTCCTGCTGCATCAAAGGCAGACCGTAACGTCACAGCACTACATGTTCTGCCAAATTGCTCAAGCAGACACACAAACACACACACGGAGGCTTGTTTTTCTGTGGCACAGGAACTTTTCCCAACACCTTGAAACGCAGGACGCCTCCTTAAACTGCTGAACTACTTTGTTGCTTCTCTTTTGGCCAGCAGAAAGTGGCTGTACCTGACGAGAAATGTTTGTCGTACTGTGGAGCAGCAGCTGCTTGTGAGTCAGAGCTTCACTTTGTGCTTTTATTGTTATGGGTTTCCGTGAATGACCCGATAAGGCCATGAAAGGGAGTCTCTGTAGCGGCCTATGAGGAAGAAGGGCCAGTTCATCAGAAAAGGTTTTGACAAGAAGTGGACAAAACAAGGAACGCTGTGATCGGAGAGCCGGGTGGAGGAAAATCGGTGAGCAGAACAGAGTGAGCGCTGCTTGTTGTCTAAACTTCCTGTGGAGAACCGCTCATTATTGTATTCATGCAAAAGGGCAAGTCGAAACGGAGACATGTTTTTGACTTCTCATGGTCTGAACCTGCGGTCAGTCAGTCTATAAACTAGATCAGCAGAAAAAAACACATCTTTTTTTCTTTTTTTTTGCTTTCAGTTCTTTCTAAAGAAAAGGTGCTTTTCTCTCTCTCTCTCACTCTGTCGCAACAGCACTAATCATTCACACTCTGCTTCTTTCTCTTCCTCTTAGCAATGGCTCAAGAGACGAACCAGAGCCCGGTCCCCATGCTTTGTGCCACAGGCTGTGGTTTCTATGGCAACCCAAGAACCAATGGGATGTGCTCTGTTTGCTACAAGGAACACCTGACGCGACAGCAGAGCAGCGATCGCATGAGCCCAATGGGTAAGGCATCATACAGAGCATGAGCGTCTTTGTTAAAGAAGTTATTATTATCATAATTATTTATTTACTTAGTTTTGTTATTTTTTTATGTACTTGTTTGTATATTCTTTCCTAAAGATGTGTAATTAAAGAGTAGGACAAGCATATAGCTATGCCAAAGCAGCTGATTTTTTTTTTATTGATTCATTCTATTAATTTTACTACCTCTTCGGGGAAATGTGCATTTTAAACGATTTTTTAAAAATCTCCTTCTGTGTTTTGTCATTAAGGCTCCACTGCTAGTCCTACCTCAGAGGCCTCAGCCATCCAGAGACTAGAAGCCAGTCTAGCTAAGGTTGACGCCTCCCCTGCCTCCTCACCAGACATGTCTAGGTCAGTAATGGCTGCAGATGGCTTGGCTCGATCAATAAGCTCTCCTCGCCTTCGAATCTTTATAAACGTCTTCCTAGCTAACGGGACTCTCGTTCGAATTTTTTTTAAACCAGCAGGACTGTTCAAGGATCTCTTCCTGTAACCCAACAGATGACAGAGATGAGCATCTCCAGAGAGGACAAGCCTGAACTCCTAGAGCCTGGTGAGACATGTCGCACGTTTGTTTTTCAGACACACGCACAGATCGCCAAAAGCTCACGGACACCTTGATTCTGCTTTGTAAGGTCCAAGGGCAGGCCTCAGTTTATTTCTGATGCTTCGCAGCACAGCTTAAATTTAACAGCCGGTTTTACTTAGAGCTTCTGAGAAGGAGATGGCATCTAAAAATAAGCCTGTTTAAAAATACCTCTAAACTGGAGGAAAGAGTCAGATTAGATTCTGCCTGCTGGAGTCCTGCTCAGCGTAGAGTGCTGTTTTCCAACAATGCCAGTGTGCAGATGAGAGGCACACAAAGCAGACATGGAACTGGAAGGAGATTTTCACATTCAAATAACATTGGGTGAAAATGTTGCTTTAGTTATCATCATTAATTGTCTGTCTGGCATTAGTTTCTTTTAAGGCAAATTTTTTTCTAAAACATCTCTGTAACACAGCACAGTGCTTCAAGTGTAATAACATTATATTTATAACATTTAATTATTTTATTATAGCTATTAAAAATAGAGTGAGAACTGGCTAAATTGAATAATTGTTTTCGAAAGCTTTCTGCAGCATTTCCCTCTTTCATAGAGCAACACAAACATAAGAAGCTAACACCAGCTGGTTAGTTATCACACTAAATTCAGGTCACTCCTGAATATTTTTAAACTGTAAAAATTGTATGACTGGAAATGTTAGTAGTCTTTTGAAACGAAAACCAGTTCATGTCTGAAGGAAAGGAAATTATTTGGGATGAATCTACACAGCAGTTGCTGTTTTAATACTTTTCATCTGCATGACATAAATACATCTTTATTTTTTTTATTGTTGTATGTAGTTGTAAGCCAGCCTGCTGCTTCTAGTCCTTCTCCGGTAGCTTCTCCCAGCACTGAAGAAAGCAAGGGTGAAACCCCCAAACCCAAGAAAAACCGATGCTTCATGTGCCGCAAAAGAGTGGGCCTTACAGGTAGGCTGTTATCAGACTATTCAAAGATTGCGGCTATATTTTCCATAAGTCACTTACTGAGTTTTCCCAGTTTAATTTGGTTGTTTATATGGTTGAATGTGGTTGTTTTAAATATTTCCCTTTTGACCTTCCAGGGTTCGACTGTCGCTGTGGTAACCTGTTCTGTGGTATCCATCGATACTCCGATAAGCACAACTGTCCCTACGATTACAAGGCCGAGGCTGCCGCCAAGATCCGCAAAGAGAATCCCGTGGTTGTGGCTGACAAGATCCAGAGAATATAGATGGGGGGGATGGTGTTGGAAATGAGGAAACATCTTGCGAAAGACTGGAGAATGAGTGAAAACCTTTGACATGAGTGCAAATGGCTAAATCAAAAGGACTTGATTCATAAAAATGATGGAAAAAAAAAAAATCGAGAAAAAAATCGAAAGACCCTACCTGAGGGAGATGCATGAATGATCACTTTTTTTCATTTTCATTAATTCATTAGATTGTTTTAATCTCGTTTTCTGTGGTGTGAATTTGCCGCCGTTGAGTCCTTTTCCTTTTTTGTTTTATTTTTTGTGTTTTATTAAGAGCAGACCAGGCATGATGTCCAGGATATGCTGTGCTCCCCTCACCAAAACCAGGTTGTCATTTTGTGCCAAACAGCCATTTTTACTAAACCCTCAAAGGATTCAGATTACAGAGAAAAAGAAATCTGCCCGCTTTGTCCCTTAATCCTAAAGAAAAAACGTAAGCATCACTCTTGAATAGGAGAATTTTTTTTTTTTTTTTACCGTGTTTCTCCTAGCTTTACCTACCTCAGAGCTGCTGTGTTGTCTTCCCTTCTATCTGAATCCCTGATTGAACCTCCAATTAGCTCACCTGTGTTCACTTTCATAGTTTGGGTTTTCATAATACACACAAAGATCCCCCCCCACTCTTCAATCAGATCTGAACAACAAACCCGACTTGGAAATATGGTCCCAGATCTGATCGCAATCGATCGACTGGTGCCGGGGCTGAGCGCTGATGTTCGGCCTGAGAGGGCAGACGCCGGCACCCGTTCCTGATGTGCCGGGTGCGCCAATTTCAAATGTTGCGAGGGGCATAAATGAATGGAATAAATGCATGAGTTGCTTTTCATCTGCTTTAGTGTTTCAGAAATATCACTCGCCTTAGGGTTTTTTTTGGGGGGGCATTTCATTTCCAGAGACAATTATCTGATTTTTATTTTATCAAATTTTTTTTTTCTTCTTCCATTGTACTGATGTTGACGCATGGACTTGGTGCATTTATGGATTTTTTTTTTTTTTTTTTGCGCTAACACAACAGTCATGTGAGCACAGTGTGTGTGTGTGTGTTATTACGTGGGTGTGTGTCCCCCCTCTCCTCCTTCCTCCCGTCCTTTTTAGCTGTGGAGCTACCCGGTTTATCAGCACATGTTTACAGAAGTACAGGAGCATGCCAGAGCTAGATTAATGAAAAATAATAGAAACTGAGATTAGACGTAACTTCTCATCTGTCAAGCGTTTATCGATCTATAGAGCGCAAGTGTGCATTTGTGCGTGTGCATGTGCACTTCCCTGTGCAAAAAAATGAAAAAGAAAAGTGTGTTTTCATGGCTGCCTGACACGTGTATGTTTGTGACTTGTTACTTTTCCCCCAGTGAGAATGCTTTTCATTAAAATAACTGAGTTTTTTTTCTTTTCTTTTTTTTTTTGATTCTTAGTTATATGCAAATTTGTACAAAAAAGTGAAAAAAAAAAAACAACAAACTGTGTTGATATTTATGTATTGCATATAATCTTGCTATCCAGCATTACAACAGAATAGTATCATGTAAATAAAACTGTACAGAGAGACATAACCAAGCCTCACTTACTGTTTCGTGTTTGTACAGTTTCGGTGGGCTAAGCCGCTTACGGGTTTTGTTGTGCAGGAGAAAAGTAGCACAGTAGCATATTACATGCAGATGGATGACAAAAGTGCATGTGTAAGTGCTTCTCAAGGTTTATTTCAGTAAACCAATTTGAAAGGTGATGTAGAACATGCAAATCTAGAATACAGTACGCAAAAAATGCTTTTGCTATTTCATACAGTAGCTTATGGTTGGTGAAAAGATGAAAATTGTCAACATATATATGTTGTTAATATGTATATTTGTGAGAGATGAATACTAAGAAACTTTTTAGCAGACGTAATCAAGAAAAATACAAATATGCAGTTATTCATACTTATGGTAACTTATGGTTACAGTACTTAATTCACTGTTCACTTCTCTTATTCTTGACTCAAAAAATAAGTCAAATCAAAAAGTTGATCTGAAAATTCATTCAAACTTATTTCTGTTATTGTTGGTGATTATGGCTGACAGATAACGAAAGCCAGATCTCAAGTTTTTCAGCAAATCAAGAGGATTGCATGAAATCTCTCAAAAGGAATTTCAATATGAAATGTCCATGTACTGTAGAATATTTGCACTCTCCGCTTTGGTATAAAGCCCCATCTTTTCCTTTGACTGGACTTTCTGTCTCCTAGCTTTGAAACAGCACTCTGTGAACAGCCGGCATGATTAGCCATTACGTTTTGAGGTTTGCTCTTTATGTAGAGGCTGCAAATGACTCAGCAGAGCTACCAAGTCAGCTGTCTTCTCCATGACTATGTGGGCCAGAGCCTTTCTGCATTAAATATCATTTTTGCTATTGTTGGTTTTATGTAATATTTGCTGACTTTCATTATCTTACTAACCATAATCCTGAAATCACTTTTTCAATTAAATTACTAAAATAAAGGAACTAATCAATCATAATGTAAGGCTTTAGTAAAATCCTCCATGAAAAGAATAATGTTAAAGAACATATAATCGTATTGTATAATGTTTTTGTGCCAGGAGAGTTGTTTAACATTACAAAGAATTTGATGAATTCCCTCACAATGCAGCTCATTAGAAATCCTCTATTGTTCTTCAGTGTGTCGTAGACAATGTAACCTTTGTGACGTCCTGTCATAGGGACACCACATGAGTGGAGCTCAGCTGTATGAGCAGCTGTTCCTGTGACGCCATCTGCAAACACACACTGTCCTGCATCTCCCCCACAGGAGTGTGAGCAAAAACACACACTCTCTCTTTCACACACACACACACACACACACGCATGCAGTGAGGGCTGGCATGTAAAGTGCTAAGCCTGGATAAAGTGGAACAGGATCAGATTCTTCCACGTTCCGGGATTAATATTTCCTGTCTGACCCATTCGAGGTTTGAACCAGTGTTCTGACTTTCTGTGCCACCTCGTCAGATTTTCCTACCGCAGCACGGACAGATGGCTGTGTCTATCTGTCGGTTCTATGAGTCTAAGACGACTACCATGATGTTCACAAACCAAAAACAACAGCGTGTTGTGTTAATGTGAAATATGTTCATTGGATATCAGTCTTTGAGTGATGAGACTGAACTGGCATTGGAACAATGTATATACACGACAAAACCCCAAAAATATCACTTCCTTCATCAGAATATCATATCGGTTTAAAACAAAAAGCTATCGCAGATGTTTGCACTAGTCCTTTTGTGAGAATATCCTACCTTTTAAAATATATTTCAAATGCAAAGGCATTTGTGAAACTGAAACTGTATCAGATGGGTGAAACAGGTCTTTAGTGAAATGAAATTAAACAGATTTAGATCGCCACAAGATGTTTTTTGGGCATTAGTATGTTGTATGGCAGTCTGTTATCAAATGCAGTTGTTTAACATTATTCCCAATGTTTATCAGACGTCAAATTTCATCTCCAGAAAATTTTCTTTTTGCGTTAAACATAGAAGATAAAGTAAACCATTTCAGATACAGTAAACATAGTAATAATGACAATTTAACCTTATATAACCTTAAACATCAAGGACAATGTTAAGCACTAGAGACAAAATGAAAAATAAACATCCTGGACAACGTCAAACATTGGGGATAACATTATCAAGAAACCTGGGAGTTGTGATGGACTCTGACCTGAACCTTCAGAGACACATAAAGACCATTACAAAGTCAGCCTTCTATCAACTGAAGAACATCTCCAGCATTAGAGGACTTAAGTCTCAGCGAGATCTAGAGAAACTCATCCATGTGTTTATTTTCAGTCACGTTGATTATTGCAACAGCGTCTTCACAGGTCTGCCCAACAAATCAATCAAACAGCTGCAGCTGATCCAGAACGCTGCTGCTCGCGTCCTTACTAAAACCAGCAAGATAACACCAGTTTTAAAGCCCCTACACTGGCTCCCTCGCTCAAAGGACAGACTTTAAAATACTGTTTAGTTTACATATCACTGAAATCAGACAAACGTTTCACAAATCCCAAATATAGTTTTAAATATTCTGCGATTAGAGGAGAATAATCCATTCCAAGTTTGAGGTGTTGTAATTTTTTATCTAGAGTAAAAAATTTTTTTACCAACTTCAGCTTCGTATCGGTGAAAAAAGACAAAAACTTAGAATAAGGTTTCTGAAAAATAACCAACTAACCAACATGGCGCTCCCGCGGCCTGCTTGCCATCACTTGTAGGTCAAGTACAGGACGCCAAGCTCGGCTTCGATGAACACTGACATGATTTCAGTCGGATCCACTAAAGTTTCTGTCCACTCAGATTCCACGTCTTGGGAGATCGTTTTCAATCAGGTCCCAAAGTTCATGAGTACCAGACCAGCAGTTTTGTGTCTCTGTGTGGCCAGGAGCAGGCCGCATTTTTATCCAGCATGGCGCATGTGCGTCACGCTCATTGATAACAAAAATTGGCGCCAATCGCCACTGTTGCAAGATTTGACATTTTCCAGTCACAGGATAAACAGGATAAACTTGTAAAACCTGCCCAACTGCAAAGAAACATTATGAATCTAAACCTCTAATAAAACTCATGCTAACAGCACCTCATGTTTTATTCATAATCTGTCTGTAATATATATTTTAGAGTAATTTAGAGGAACAGCATAATTTTACATTATTTTTTTTTATAATATAGGACTGAAGATTTTTTTTTAAGTTTTCAAAATGTACATTTTTCTAAGAACTAATACATTATAAGACCAAATCAAAGAAATAATAAAAGCTATATGAGGGATAAACTTGCTTTTTATACAATATTTTCAAAGCTTAATACCAAACTGCTGCTCCTTATGGAGAGTGAAAAGTGTCAAATGACAATAAATAACTTATGTAATAATTATTTCAGTGTGCCATTAATTTCTTTAAAACTCTTCACTGTCCATAGATCTGTGTCCTTTGAGCTGTCTTTAAATAATACAAGTTTATTGATAAATTGCTTATCTAGAAACATATGTCAGGTTTTTTAAGGAAAGAAAAAAATTCTGGCCACATGCATGGTAACTTCTTCCTCTTTCTGGTTGCACACCACAAGATTTGCACATTGAGCCTCCCTTTTTTCCTCTTAACTTTTTAACATCCACTTATATAGCAAAACTCGTGCACACATGTCACAGCACAAAATAAAAGAACATCTTTCATCTTGCTGGCTGCTTCTTAAAGAAGAAGTTAAACTTTCCTTCAGGTATGTATTACAACCTTTGTAATTGTCGATGCTGCCACCTGGAGGTGAAAAGGAGAAATGTACCCTACTTAGAACGCAGTTATGGATAGAGTGAATATCAAGCAGGTTTACTAAATAGTAGGTTTATTCACAAGTGTGAATTGGCCTCCATACAATCTTCTCTTTCAATAAACAGCTGTTGTACATGAGAATATGTAGAAATACTTTGGTTGTTCTGGGAATGTCCCGCTGAGACAGAAACTCCAGAGAAGTATCTCAAATAAACAGTCACATGTAAACTTTCATTAGACAGTCTAAACTGGAAAATATTTATATAGTCTCAACATCTTCCTAGGCCAGTATTACTAACATCTCCTTGCTGTTGTTGGTTCTTTCTGCAGGAGTGAAACCTGTTTAAATATACAACAAACCTTCAGATTCAAAAGGAATATGATCTGCTGCTGTTCAAAATCTTCTTTGAAGTATCATACAAGAACCTAAGATGATTTCCAAAAGGTGTTGTCCTCCCGTGCCAACCAATAATGTAAGATAATTATTCTCATCTTAAACATAATAATAGCAATATTCCGTAAAAGGAAGCGGAAGAATGTGTGCAAGTCAGATAAATCAAATAAATAAAATGAATTCTCAATTGAATTTACTTGAATTTAAAGAATGTCGTGACCTGAATAGCCAGCAGGGGGCAGTGCATATTTTTCTCTTTGTTCTCACTCCGTTGACACAGGAAGTGGAAGCCAGCGGAAGCCCTTTGAGCGCTCGTGTTAGCAGCGGTTTTGTTACGTAGGAGAAACGCAATATTTCAGAGATTAACGAGAACGACTTTTATTTGAAATAGAAACATTGAACCGATGCGCTCGGTGTTTCATTGAAAAGTCGGAGTCGAGTTCAGCTCTGTGAGCGTTTGTAACCGGAGGAGCGGTGGAAGCTGAGGGAAAAGCGGCACCATGGCGGATGTTACCGCTCGTAACCTGCAGTATGAGTACAAAGCGGTGAGTATATCAGAATATAAACACATTGGCTCAAGGGAGGGTATTTATGGCGAGCTAGCTTTACATTATTGAGCTATGAGTAACGGAGTATCTTCATTTGGCTCCAGCATGTCTCATAATATGTTTGTGTCGAATGTGTAGAACTCAAACTTGGTGCTGCAAGCGGATCGCTCTCTGATCGACCGCACTCGGAGAGATGAGCCCACCGGTGAGGTGCTGTCCTTGGTGGGGAAGCTGGAGGGGACAAAGATGGGGGACAAAGCTCAGAGGACCAAACCCCAGAAGCTGGAGGAGCGACGAGATAAGTCAGTGCAGTCT